CGGTTGGGGGGGGGGCTTTGTCTCCCCTCCCCGCTAATGTAGGAGTGATTGGGGTGATCTGCTTTCCATATGTCACACAGGACGCTCTTCTGTGGACCGCCAGTGCCAACGCTCTGACTTAAGAGGCAGTAGGAGTTGGCATTAAGCATCAGCTGCTGTCTCTGAGCACGGAGAAGCTCTGAGCCACGCTGCAGTATTTATCAGTCATTTATCAAGTTTATCAGTGCGGTTGGACTCCAGCCGGGGGGGGGTAAGCTTACATTTCGGTCGTCCTGTAGGTGGAAAAGCCGTGAAGTGTTAATTACACGTATTTAACCCCGACCCTGTGTCTGAATGAGGGACGTTGAAGAATGACGCTGTCAGACTTGTTTGAACGGGTCACTGCTGGACAGTTAATGGACAAAATATCCATGCTGGTTCCCACGTTCTCCGAAGCGTTTGTAGGCCACTGTGTCCCCGTGCAGGACAGATGGATGATCATGGTTAATTAGCACTTGGCCATGGGATGTATACAGGGGCGGGGCCACTGGGGCTCTGGCCCAAGCTGAATGCTGATTGGTCTCCAGAGTGACCCTTCACTGTCACTCACTGATTCATAACATTTAATTGGCTAATGATAATGTTAGCCTGTTGGTTTGAATTATGGCTCCTCCGGTGCCCCCCAACTTAAAAACAATCCTAGAATCACTCCTGAAAAGGACAGAGCTAATAAGTCTGGTACTTATGGACCAGTTTGGCAAGGCTCTGGTGTGCACATGACCGTCTGTGACTTTGACGCCCTTTCGACACCCTTGTCATACCAAATGCTTTGGTTAAGAGCCTCATGGGAAAATTTCTGAGTCATTGTTCTGTTTTATTGCTCTCAGGTTTTGGATGCACAGCGAGTCCCCCGGACTGGTAATCTGGCGGCCCGTCCATGAAATTGGTGCCTAATAAGGGTCATTTGGGGTCGCAGCCCGGCTCTCCTGAGACGCAGGAAATGCTTCACACCTGCCGTGTCGTCGCTTTAAGAGGCGGCCCGTCAGGCCGTAAGCCGTTGGTCTAATTTAGAATGATTTCCAGCTGGCCTTCAAGGAGCCTCACACATATCCGAGCGGAGAGCGGATTTTGCAGCGCTGTTTTACTGCCTTTTGGGTGCCGACACTTCAGTGGTGAGGGTTTTGGGGATTTACCTCTGCTGGTCTCTTACCAGCTTCTTCCAGACACGGTTCAGAGGTTGGGACCTCACCTCTGCCCTTGCCTTCCGAGGTGATGACGTCTGTTGTCACCACATGGCAATCCGACTCCTCCACTGTTTTGTTTTCTCACCTACAAACAATTGATACCAAACAAACAAGGGGTTTCAAGCAGGACGGCGCTTACGGAAGTTCAACCAGAAGGCTGTTGGTTCATGTTCCAGTGGATCCGCATCAGATGGGGAAGGGATTTAAGATGACACCTGACTGTCCTGATGGAACAGCGGCAGTGGCTTCTGGGTAAAATAACATGCAAAGCTGACAATGCAAGATGTCCATATATGGACGAGTCAGCTCACCTTCTCCAGGGTCTCACAACCATGAGATGAGGATCTTCTGAAGTAAAAAAAAAAATTGATATTGGACTTGAGAAGGGAAACAAAAATTGGAAAAGGGGTGCTTCTCTCCTTTGAGGATTGACTTTTGCCAGAGGAACCATGTCATGGAAACATCTCAGGCTTTGGGCATTGCCAAGGTCAAACTATTTAAGACCAACATATCTGCACACACTTGGGATTGCTGGAAATTAGCATGATGTTTAGACATACCGGAATGGAAAATAGTTTTTAACGCTGTTTATAGCTGATTTGGTAGTGGGATGAGAATCAGGAGGGATGGTGGGGGGGGGGGGGGGAATTTTCAATTCATGTAACATCTTCAGCAGGCAAAGTGCCATAAACCCTGAAAAGGTCCAAACACCAGAGACACTTCCCAGCTTCTGGGTTTCTGGTTGTGAGAACATTCCTGGAATAGCAGAGTTCATGCTCCCTACATCCAGTTTTCAGAAATGTTCTCTTTGGGTCATGGAGATACTATCCTGAGCATTGTCAACATGATGCTGAGATAAATTGCTACATAAGACATGAACGTGGTTTTTTTGGCTCTTGGAGAACGCCTGTGGAAAGAGACTTTCGAATTTACCTCGGCTTCGCAGAGAATTAGCTTATGTTCTCACCTTTACACAGGAAAACCTGATTACTAAAATACGCTAGGAGAACCTAAAATGAAACATTATATGATTTTTCTCTGGAAAAATAAGTGATAAAGATCTCTTTAGTATGTTAAGAAACAGCTAAATGACAGCCTCTTGCAAACATTCCCTCAAACGATTGCTGTTAGCGGTTAAAGAACGGAGTCTCTGGTTAAAATGTTCCTCTCATCCTCTTCAGAGGAGAGCCTGACCTGGGCCGGGAAATTCCTTGGATGTATAATCATTTACATGTATCTTCAAGTGATTCCTGAAAGAGGGCAGATGTTCCGCGGTGCTGAAAGGAGGCCAGCGTGACGACCCAGGCCCCGATCGAATTCAGTCCCTAAAAAGAAGAACCTCATTGAAATTCCAGAGTAAACAGACAGCTGTGTAAAATGGGGGAGGGGGGGTTAAAATCGGACCCCTGAACGATGACGTGGAGTTTGTCTAGAGAATGGTCGGCCTGTACGGAAAGGATACGCCAATGGAGGCTATCTGAGGCGTGAATTGGTGCCCTTGTTGAAATAGCGCCAGACTCCAGCCTGTAACAAAGCCTAACGAGCAGCTATTCTCCACCGCACTCCCACATGACAACAGGAGGACATCGGCAAGCCAGCATCGCCCCCCCCTCCCGGCCCGCCACCCCGCCATTGTCTCCGTGGGGCTTTTCACGCGTGCTGCGGGGCCATGGACTCCCCCGGGCCATTTGAGCTGCCGGAGTCGGGCCGGGGGCTCCGTTTGGGACAGTTAGACTTTTACCGTGAACCGGCGACACTGTGTATGACATTCCCAGCATCACTGGCAGATGAAAATACGGTGAATCGGGCGAAAAGAAATGAGGAAGAATCTTGAATCCCGCCGGGGGACATCGAGGATACGAGGGGATCGTGGCCGTTGTGGTGGCGATGGGGGGCGAGGTTCCTGTGTAACGTTTTTGGCCACATTCACTGCGGGGCCTTTCGGAGTCGACCTGCTCGCGGACCCTGACCATGTGTTGCTCTGTCCAGCCTCGGGGGCCCTGAGAGGGATCCGGGTCTTGCTTGGTCGCTCAATGAGCCCCGTGGAGCCAGCGACTCCCCCAGCAGGCATGAAGCCCCCCGCGTGGCTCTTTGCGACGCGTGTGGTCACCCGGACGCCAAACCCAGGCTCAGCTGCTGTGTCCAATGGGATTTCTCGTGTTTAGTGTACATCAAATGAGACGTACCACTCCAAGCATGTGAAGGGGGGGGGGTCTTACTTTATTCTTCTTCCTATTCGCACTGCACAGGGGACTCATTCCTGCACTTCTTCCTTGCAGCTGATGAAAGCCCAGGTTGCTTACACGTCCATGCTTTTCCTGAAAAGCAACAACCCCTCCCCAAAGATGGGGGGGGGGGTCCTTTGTCCTGCTTTCGCCATTGCCCTGCTGTCCATTCAGATGGATGCTATGTATCAGTGATCACTTAACAGGACACGGCCATTCGTTAGGTGGGTGATGTGTGTGTGTATTTCAGATTACAACCATTGGGGGTGGGGTGGGGAATGTGGGGAGTGATGATGAGGGGCCCCTGAATGCCATCTACAGGGGGGGGGTGAGGGGGTCTTATTCTACTTCAAGGCGTTTATTGTTCGCAACAAGAAAATGAGCCTCCGGTTCTGGAGCTGAGAATCAGCCGATTTCTACAGTTTCTGAGTCCAGCAAAGCTCGTCTCTCTCAGTATTTAAGAAGAAAAACATACATTTTGAGAATCTGCACCACCAGTGGTCCGCTGCCCTTTGATGTGTCTGGTTGCATGATTGGGTGAAATATTTATTAATTGGCCCACATCTGGGAGGCATTTTTGAAAAATATTACATTGTGAACGGCGAGTAATCGCTGGCGAGGGGCGGCCAGTTTGCAGGGACTGGGCTGCCACGTTTTGGGGGTTCTGGAGGAAATCAGCCGTGGAAAACGCCGGGTGGTGTCATGAAAGCTGTTAGGCGCCTTTGGAGCTGAACTAGCTGCCTGTAAGCATTTAAGCACGAGGCTCTTCGGGTTAAAACTCCCGCAGACAGATTAAGCAAGACGGATAGAACTAGCGGCGACGAGAAACCCTTTTGTTTGGCAGAGACTGAATTCCTCACCTTCAAGGATCTGGCTTTGCCTCTTGGTGTCCCACAATATGGTCGCGGTTAAATCCCGGACACCATCTAAACAGCACAGGTCGAACCCTGGCCACTGGTTGCCATGGCGCCCTTGTCTGTATGATGAGCGGGTTAAGCTGTTAGGGTTCTGCTGGCCCGTAATATCGCAGAATGACGGCCTGTTTATGCCTTTTGTGAAGATGAAAGGGCCAAATGTTTGTTCGTTTTCACCATGGACTCAATCCGCGAGGTTCTGCGAGCGATGAAAGATTACAGGCCTGCGGCTGGAGCTCAGCACCGAGCCAAAATAAACTCCTTTAAGGAAATGGCCATTGATTAACCTTTAGAATTAGACAGGGAACAGCGTGAGCCATTTAGCAGCTGGTAAATCGGCATTACGCGTCTCCGACTTCGCTGCGTTCCACTATAATCATGGCAGCTTTATCTCAGCGAATCAAAGCGCCGCTTAGCGGGGAAATCCGACGGCGAGTCAGCGCTCCGAGAGCGGCACGCTTTAATGCCCTTCGCGTTAAAGACATACAGCTTAACGTTTCCTGCTGGACGGGATAGAAGGCAGCTCACTTTTACGCCCTTAATCTGATGCTTTCTTTCGACGGCCTGTGGGGGGAGCCGTTCCCGCGCTTGCCGACAGTCACTGTGGCTCCTGTCTCCTTCCAGCGACTCCGCCTGCATTTCCGGCCGATCCCAAGCGCAGGATGAGCGCGGCTGATCCGCAGCAGCTTCCAAGGGGATAAGCGAACCGCTATTCTTACGACACGGTGAGTCAGACACTGTAATTTAGCTAATCTGCTGCCAATTGTGGTATATGTATACGGTGTCGTAGTTTAGTATGTGTGCTAAATGTTCGTTTACTAAATGATATGTAATGTATGGTAAACTTTTTGGGGGGGGGGATTCAGATGGGATGTCTGTGACGTGGAGCTCCTGTCCCCACTTGTGACACCCCACCTCCCAGCCGCATGTAACACACCATCCTTGATCATCCTTTCATGATGGCCTCGCCGTCAGCAACCGCAACGTCATAGCGTGGAGGCTGCCGATCTGGGTCCTTCTTGCACCAGTGAGGGGGAGATACCGGCCAGCTGCATACCGTAAGGCTCTACGCTACGAAACAATTCCGCACTTAACTAGAAGTCATTACGCCTTAATCTCGGGGCCTCATGGGAACGCTGGCGATTAAGCGGAAAGGAACGGCCGCGGGGTACGAACAGCACATGAAAGGCCGTTTTATTAGTCACGGTCTGATGTGTCTGCGCTGGGTCTCCACCATGTGACTCATCATGTGACTCACCATGCCAGTGTCACCGACCCGGCTCGCTTTTGGGGGGAGTCACTGAGAGCCAGACTCCGTCCCCCGTCATCCTCCTCCAAATGGGCCGCCGACCACCAACAACACGACCGAAGGCAGCTCCATCCCAGGAGAGATCTGGTTGCCATGACGTCTACTGCCAGAGTTGAAATATAAACCAGTGCTGAGTCCCAGCAGGGAAATTCACAGCCCATGTTGCATAGCATAGCATGTGCACTGAACCTGTATCTTTCAAGTGATCGGAAGGTGTGGCCAGTTCCCGATCAGCTACGGCCAAACTCCACCCTCTCCTGAAGCCATTGCTGGCTGATGCACCTTGTTCCTTTACTGGGACACCTGCACTACAAAAATTTCTGCTGTTTTCTGGTTAAACTTTGGGCTGTTCCCATCCTAAATAACCCAGCCCACCCCCCACCCTATTCACTGGACCGGTGCGCCCCCCCCGGTCCCATTCCTGACCCTACACTTGAACTCCATTGAAAGTGTCCGCAATGCAGAACGTGTCCTGCGCCTTTAAATGGAGGAGACCATGGCGACCCCTGATGCCCCAAACTATGCTCTCGATAAACAGACCGCGAGGCCCCAAACACACTCCACGAGGCGTTTGCTCTGTTTTCTTTTTCCAGTGGGTGTCCTTTCACTCTGCCCCCCCCTTTCCGTCTTTCTCTCCGTATTCGGGTTCCCCTCTTTTGGCTCTGGAGAACGCAGGGGTTTGTCGAAGGGGTGCGGGGCTGTCCCGGGGGAATTCCCATTATGAGGCGGGTAATTCACTCAACGGCAATGCAGCAATTGACACAATCGGGAGCTCAGCACTGCACGGGTCGAGGGCTGGAGCTTTGCACTGCTGCAAACCCTTTAATTAGCTCCTCCAATTCAACGAGCACTTCAGCATCCCGGACACAACTGACTGAAACTGTAACTAGTGCAAGTTCTCAATTGTGGTTTATTACTAAAAACACTGCATATTTTTAAAAATAAGGTGCCTGGTTCTGAAGGCTTGGCAGTTCACATACTCAAACAATGACATTGCATTACCTGTGATACTGTTTATTGGGAACCAGTGCAAACTAATGGTGGATGGGAAGATTAGAGTTTGGCTGCAGGCTCCAAACTTACATTGATCTCTCCTGTAACCTTGACGTAAATCTGGGCATCATGGTTAAATATCTCTCTGCATGAATGGGGAACATGTGGACTGTCAATGGAGTAAATGCAATAAGGTGAGAACCTGCCAGAATGTTCTGCAATGGGAGCCCAGGTCAGATCCAGGAGCACAGGAGGCTGGATGTCCTAAGGGATAAACCCACTACACTGTCCAGAAGAACAAGGGGTCAGCAGGTGACGTGGATGCTGAACAGAAGGGTCTGAGACCAGAAAGTCGTTTGATCGAAGCCCATAAAATGGCATGTAACCAACATCACCTGAACTTCATCGACAGAACGATATGCAACAACAGCGTTATGACAAATCAGGTCCTTCTTCACACAGAGGGGCTGTCAGCTGTGGGACACACTGGTCTGGTTACCCCCCTCCAGAAACCAGGACCAGATCTTCGCCCCTCCCCCCTTTCCTGGTGGGGGGAGGGTTTCAAGTACCATCCTATTCTACTGGTGTGGAGGAAAGCCGATTGAAGAACAGACACAAGTGTGATCTGATAAGAAAGCCGACTTCCCTTTGCTGGGCTGTGTGTTTGGAGAAGCCCGGACCTGCCCACCACCCTGCCTGCTAACGTCTCGCGGGGTTGATCCAGAGTGACAACATCCAAGGCTTTTTATCTGATACCACCCTGTTACATCTAATCCAGCTTTTAAAGGCACTTCTGCTTCATATCTATAGCATGCTATTATTTTTTAAGTGTGCGTTTTACCAGCTGTTGGTTTGCTGCAGTCTGACCTGGGTATTTCAGTTACACTGTCCTGACATTTACAAGTTTATATATTTTTTTTTATTTCTGACTTCTTGCGCGAATGTTTATTTGTGTAGCAACCTTACACCCGACTAAGGAATCCCATTTAGACTCAGTATAAAATAAACCAGACTTCGCAAACATTTTGCCATCGGAGAGCCCGGTAATTTTTTCTGTAACCGCTGGCGATGGACAAATTACAGTAAAATGCAGTATAAGCGTTTTGTGTGATAAACGTAGGGATTGATTGTTGATGTTACACAGTGATGTTGAATGACTTTAAAAATTCTTTATAAAAAATAAATGTGTATATACAGTATTTGTCATGAATACACAGATCGTGTTATTTGTAATATGACTTCGACTAACCGCCTTTCTGGTATCTTCGCAAAACCAGCGATTTTTTCCTCGGTTTCAAATGCGTCTCAGTCCGAGTCGACGACAAGGTGTTTGCTTTATCGCAAGGCAACGAGAGATCTTATTTCCTTCATGTGTGAGAAAACAGAACATATACGTTTTAATCAGACAGCAAAAATAATGGGGAGCCTTTGCCGGTGACAGCACACTGAGGAAATTGGTACAAGCCTGAAGTCATGTATTTCGTGGTGAAACCAGTGCAGTTTCAGCGAGATGCTTATTTGGTGAAACTCAATCAGGCGCCGTGCGACTTGGGCCATAAAAGCGCCTCTTTGCCCCGCATGATCAAACGCTACATGCCGAAGCGGCCCCCGTGCAGCCTGCACCAGCCCGGGAGGGGTGTGAATTTCCCCAGCTCCACTTTGTCGACGGCAACCGAAAATCGGGGGTCTGTCACCACCGTGTTATCATCCCGGATCCCCACGAGCGTTCTGGGGTGGGGGCGGTGACAGTGTCAGCGGTATGTACGTATCTGACCAAAAAAGAATGACAGTAAACCAAAGAAAATTATAAAACAATGAGCATTTTTTGTAGCTGTCGTTGACTTTTAATCGTACTAACTATACAGTGTCAGAAAAAAAGAGTACAGTACCAGTTTGTACCTAATTTGCTTCCCAGTGACAAGCACAGGTACAAATTGTACCCTTTTTTCTGACTGTACATTACCTAGAAAATCATCTTTAGGCTATATTATGATTGTTTCATGAAATTAAATGTGTGTGAAAGAACCTTCCAAATATGTTGCGTTTTTTAAACTTTTTTCTTTTGTGCACATAACGGTTTACCTTCAGCTGAATTGGCCTATCGGTATAATCACTATAATGATTCATGTTTCCTCCATCATGCACGACAAACTACTCATTTCCAGACGACAAGACGAAAAAATGTGCAAGTGACCTTGAGGGCGATTGCCAGTGATCTCCACTTTTGGTAAACACCCGCATACAGACGCCCGTATCGAGGGTGAATAATGCGTTTGGTAGGACGGAGGTGAGGGTCCACCCAGCAGCACTCAGGGAGAGCGAAAACAAAAACACATCTGCGTCCTGTACACGCAGACATCATCCCTTACAATAAAAAATCCTTGGAGGACCTAATGGAAAGCTATTACGATTAAGATAATTATTCTGGAAACCAGCAAGCACAGAAAAAAATGGTCTTTATCTAAGAGTCAATTTTCCAACACCTGTTAACATTTGAGACTTACTTTTGCGGTTCTTTTTCATTTCTCTCTCTCTCTCTCTCTCTCTCTCTCTCTCTCTCTCTCTCTCTCGTTTTAGCCTATTTACCCTATGTGACTAAATGCTGATAAATCGCAGTGGATTACACGGTAAAGAGTCTGTCATGAAAAGAATTCCGGCATCATTGACCTATATGTTTAACAATTTAAGGTCATGTAGGCTTGACTATACCTTATATACATATAAGACACACTGTTGGCTTGGTGAACAATAACGAATCAGCCGGGTGTAATAAAGCCATATTGAACTACTCTTGGGGTCCCACCTTTCTTTGAATAGCCCGGGTGTCGTACATGCGAGCAAAAGAAAAGTGAAAGCCATAGTGCAGCCCGGTTTTTCAGGCGGACTTTTTAATGGAGGAAGTCAGTCCTGCCAGCGGTGATAAATCACGCCGAGGCCACGCCCCCGCAGGGCCCCCCCTCCGTGGAGATCCTCTAATGCTCCGCGTCGCGCTCGCCGGTCACACTTGTCCTGGAGTCTAAGCTTGAGGGAAAATCTCGTTTGTCGCAAACTATGGATGTCAAAGTGCTGTCGCTGGCGATGCTGCTGGCAGTGGCCTTGTACGCAGCGCATGGTGAGTTTGCGGCGTTTCTGCTGCCTTTCGGCATCTTCTCGTCCGGCCCGTTTTGCGCTCTTCTGCGCCCTGATCAATACGTGGCTTTTCTGCGCGTTACATTGCATTTCCTTCACTGCAAATTTAACTATGCATATTATGCATCATTTATATTTTATATCATTTTAAGTGTTCGCTTAGTGGAAAATGTTTGAACATGCGATGCTTGCTTAGAGTGTGATTTTATTAATTTGCTGGAATTAAGTGGTTTTGCAGTTTTACAGTAAGAATTTTTCTTTAAGATCGGTAAACTTAGGGACGACAGGTTCACAGTGTATTGTATAATTAGCGCCGTTTTCATATTTTTAAATTTGAATTTCCGTTATTTGAAAATAATTTTACACCATTTTAAATATAGAAGTTGTACGGGAAAGACATTGACATGTCTACAATTTCAATTACTACAGTTACTTGGCACAGAATTTAATGCAGTTACTTAAGCACATCGTTGTACTGTGCTTTTATGTATCTTCAAATTATGGTCAGTTAAATTCAATACGCGACGCATACGATACACATGGATTTATTCTGGAAATGCTGAACTGGAAAATCAAGCAAATGAGCAACGCGACCTTGCATTTGATGTTTGCCTGGGCATGTTGTGTATTTGCTTCTCCTTTTTCCTTCTTTTAATGACCCACTAATTGGCGGATTAAGCAAACCCGTTGTAATAGCAGTAGATGTCCTGTTGGAATCATCCTTTGTTGCGCCGTAATGGTCATTTTATTAACATCATAATGGCGTTCAATTGTTGCCGAAAATGTTCGTTGGTGTTTAAGAGGCATTTAAAAGAGGAACGTACGTTTCTAAGTGGAAGCATTTCGAGAATTTATATGCCCGACAATTAAGTAGTTAATTGACACTAGATTCAAATGTACTGAGACGCAGTGTTCAGTGCCGCAAACGGTTCGACTTTAAAACCAATATTTAAACCATCTTAGGTTTGGTGTTTATATACCACTCACCCAACACATTTTTATTATACTCGCTGCAGAAACGATTAAACAATCCACTTCACTAATATCTGGGAGCAAATAATCATTAAGACGTTCGTTTTAAGAAAAAGGATAGTAATTTAGGGGAATATACATGCATCTCACCGCAGTTCAGGGATTTGTTATAAAGCCACGGTTTGTGTTTTCTGCAGTTTGAGTTTTAAGGACAATGCTCAACTCCAAGAAAAGGTTACTTTTTTAACTTTTACGGAACGGCATGGGTAACGAAAACAAGCAGTCACATCATTAAATATAGAACAGGCATATTTTAATCGCAATTTATTGCTGTTTACCATGGACACAGCGAACTTAAAAAATACGGGTCAGTGCACAGAAACGCCATAGCGCTGACGACATACAACAAAATGCAGGCAATCAACACCCAATCAAAAATATATATAACAGCATGTACAGTTCATTTAATTAATTTCATGTAGTTGTATTTTTACGCAAGGAAGCATCTAAGCAGCACAATTTGTAAAGGAGCTAAAATCTCGGAATCTCATTTGTTTCTCATCAGCGTGTTTTTCTTACGGGTGGCCGTTGTGTGCACAAGCTTTTCTGAAGCTTTTTGCTCTCTCACTTTTACAAGATTCCCCCCCCCCTCTGACTATGTTGAAGGAAGAAGGTATTTAACAGGGTAAAAGATGCGGCAGGGATGTGAGCGTGATGAGGATGCTGAGACAGCAGAGATTTAAAGTCCTGGGAAAGGCAGTTTTACCTTAGAGTCACGCTCATCAGTATGTATTGGAATTAGTAGGTTCATCAGTATGTATTAGAAAAGTTAGAAAGGTGACTGCTGATTAAAGGAGGATTTTCCCTGTTAGGGCTGACACAATGGGGGGTCACGGGGGTGTAAAATGTCACACTGACCCTTTTGTTTTGACTTCCTCCCCCCAGCAAAGCCGTTCGGAATGGTGGAGAGGTGCTGGTGCCGCTCGACTGTCAGCACCGTCCCGCAACGGGCCATCCGCGAGCTCAAGTTCCTGCATACGCCCAACTGCCCCTTCCAAGTCATGTAAGTACAGCCTCGGGCCCCGGGCCCCGGCCCCCGGGCCCTCTGCTGGCCGGTGCATCCCACGTTCCCCTCCCGACGACGCCGGCCCGGCCCGTCCCGGCATCGACCTTCAAAGCTTCATGGGAAGCTGGAAGGCGCCTCCTACACTGCACAATACTCAGACTGGGAGGGGGGGAGCTGAGTGG